AACTGCTGTGTTTGGGTGCTCTGTTGTTGATGAAATTAATAAAGGGAGCCTTAGAAATTGCACGGTTAAGTATATTCGGTCTCTTGTTATTTTGTTTGAAATTATTTAGCAAGATACAAGAGGGAAGTCACAATCCTTTAAATACCCTGAGAAATTCCTAGGATTACAGTGTTATCAGTGGCCATTTATTCATTCATTCATTCATTCATTCATTCAACAAACACTGGGTGTGTGATGTATTCGCTGCATTATTCTAGGCATCGGAAATCTAGTAGGAACGTAGCATTCAAATGTTGTTCTTTTACGGAGCTCTTAGTCAAGTGGGCGAGACAGACAGTGAACACACAGACACACGCACACACACTCAGTGAAGAGAGTAGCTTGCTGAGATTCTGGTACCAGTTCAGGTGTGCGTGTGGGTTTTCCACATCACCAAGCAGTTCTCCAACACAAGCGGACTGTCCTACAGTTCAGCTGATTTCTGATATCATCTTCCTGGAGATAGCATCAGATCCCACAGATTTTACCTGAATTCTTTGGGATTTGGCAGATGTTCCCTGAGGACTATACTTAAATGGATGTTTGTAAGAAAATAAAGCCGGAGTAAAACCTGTTTACCCCTTCGTTTTAGAACAATATCAATTATGGCGGCTTAGAAACAATGTGTTTGCCACAAAGTAGCTGTGAGTTTGCTCACTCCTGTAAGATTGCCCCCCTTCCAAGCCGACCAAAAGCCCAAATTGTCACCTGTGCTTCTGACTGACCGGCTATAAATTGGTTTCCATGAGTCCTCCTTGGATTCAGTTAACTTGCTCATAGAACTCAGGGAAACACTTTATTTATTAGAGTGCCGGTTTATTATCCAAGGATACAACTCTGAAGAGCTGATGGGACGAAGTGCAGGGAAGGGGCTCGGACCTTCCATGACCCTCCCTGAGCACACCCCTCTTCCCCAAATATCCACGTGTTCACCAGCGTGGAAGTTCTCTGGACCCCATCCTTTGGGTTTTCAATGGAGGCTTCGTTAAGGAAACGTAATTAAATCATTGGCCACTGGCCACTGATTCAACCTGCAGCCCCTCTCCCCTCCCTGGAGGCTGGCGGTAGGACTGCAAGTTCCATCTCTAAGTCACAGTTAGTCTCCCGGCCACCAGCTCCTCCCCTCCCCCTTCCCGCCGGTCTGTCCCTAGTTTCAAGGTCTAAAAGCCACCTGATTAACATAACAAAAGACACCTTATCTCTCTCCTCACCTAGGAAATTCCCCCTGGTTTTAGGAGCTCTGTGCAAGAAATGGGGATAAAGACCAAATATGCATTTACTCTAAATCACATATCGGACTCGGGTAACAGGAGAGAGTCTCTCTTGTAGCGTTGGGACAGCAGTACGTCGGGTGGTCAGGACAGGGCTCCCTGAGGAGGTCCCGCCTTAAGCTGAGACCCAAAGGAGGAGAAGCCAGTCCAGCAAAGGCCTGTGCAGGGAGCATCCCAGAAGCTCAACAAATGGCAGAGGCCCCAGTGCAGAAAAAGCTTGTCGCGATCAGAGAACAGAGGAGGTTGTGCGCGTGGCAGAGGGAGAGGGTGGGGAACTGGGAGGGTGACCGTCCCAGAGGTGGGTGGACAGGCCCAGACCCTGACCCTGCCACTGCAGGCCTGGTGAAGCGATCCCTCTCTGGGGCGCTGTGCGCAGTCACTGTAGGACGTTCTGCAGGGCGGGGGCATGTTTTCTGTTTTTCTAAGACCTGGCTGTCCTGTGAGGAAAGCAGTGTCAGGTCAGAGGGAAAAGTGACAGTCATCCAAGCCATCCCAATGGGTCAGGGGAGAGCATGGTGCTTTGGAGGGCAGGTAGCACTGGACATAGAGCAGAGGAGCCCATCTAGGGAGCACCTGGGCCCGGGGTAGACAAGGATTGCCGATGGGCTTGGGGACCTGCGGGGAGGGGAAAATAATTTATCTTAGTGCAGTATAAAAAATGAGGTGACGAGATAGTCACTTAGAGCCTCCAGATTCCATTCTGTTCTGTACCCGGAGTGAAAAGTTATGGCGCATTTTTCAATATTGTCGCAACACTGAGCTTTTTCGAAGCAAATGCAATTCAGACGCACTTGAAGCATGCTGGCCCTTGTAGTTGGCGGCGAAGAATGAAAAGAAATTAACTTAGAAGATAGCAGTTCAACTAAACAGATCATTTTAGCTAAAAGCATAAGGACAAGAGTGGCCTGAACTCAAGCAGTCCGTTTGCTAACAGCCCTATCTTTTCTCTGGAGAGTGCAAGTTCCCTGTATCCTCTACAAGACTAGAAGGGAGACCTGCATTCAAAAAACAAAGATCGTATTTAGTGGTTTTGTACCCCTGGTCTTCTGAGAAGCCCTTAATCGTGATAGGCAAGGTTCAGAAGGTGTTCAGCTCCCAAATGGATCCCGGGTCAGAAGGTGCCGGAATCTGCACTGATCTCCCCCGTGGCCCGCCGACCCCAGATGCCTTAGCCAACCGAGCAAGAACCTAGCCTCAGTGCCCCAGCCTCTCCTGCAGGAGGCGGAGGGAGAGAGAAGGACTTCCAGAAGAGGTCTTTCCGGAGGCTGTGGCTGAGCTACAGGGGCCGCTGTGGGGAGGGGGGATTTGAACGGGAAGAGCTCCAGACTCCCACCTCCCCTGCACCTCACCACTACCACCGGTTCATCTATTACGCCTGAGCCTTTAGAATTAATTTGGTTTGAACTGAGGGTATAATAGGTTTTAAGAAGATATATACTGACGGTGCCTGGGTGGCTCAGTCGGTTAAGTGTCAGACTCTTGATTTCAGCTCAGGTCACGATCTCAAGGTTCGTGAGTTCGAGCCCTGCGTCGGGCTCTGTGCTGACAGTGCGGAGCCTGCTTGGGATTCCCTCTCTCTCTCTCTCTCTCTTTCTCTTTTTCTCTTCCTCCCCCCTCAAAATAAATAAACGTAAAATATATATATATATGCTGTTCTAGGCAGTTGCACACTTGCCTACTGAGATGGTCCCAGCCCTCATTTTTGAGCCACCAGTATGAATTGAGCTTTACCAGCCAGCAAGTGATGCTCATACCCCCAGTGGCAGCCAAAATTCCACCTTCTCACTTCCACCCACTGCTACCCCACCGAATGTTTGAAGGAGGCCTCTCTTTGTGATTCTTCTCTTTCTGTTCCATTGGCCCCCAAAGCTCACGTATTCTGGTCAGTTCTGCCTTCTGCTGTTCTCTCCTTCTGGGCCTGGGTACTCCCCACTCGCTTTGACCACTCTTCTCCGCCCTGTCCTGGAGAGCACGGAGCCACGGGAGCCACGGCAGAACTGACTGGAGCCCCGAACTGAGCTGGGCTTGGTGGCAGGGGTGGGGCCTCCAGGCTTTGACTCCGGCTTCCCGCTGCCTCATCCCTGCACCTGTTAGGCTTAACCCCCCTCTGGGGGTTTTCATTCCCGGGCCCCGCTGCCTGGTTCCATCCATCAACCCTTTTCCCATCTAGTCCATCCAAGCACGTTCAGGTTCTTTCTCGAAGGGCCTCTGGGTTCCCAGCAAACCGGGAATCGCGGCTGGGCACGGCTTTGAGTGCCCGACAGTGAGGAGCTGGCCCACTCCAGAGGGTCCTGACATGCTCCCAGGAGGGCACTGCCCAGTGCCACAGGCTGACCTGAGCCTGGGTTCTGGCCAGCATCTGGGAGTTTATTACATGGGAGAAATCAGGCCCAAGAAACAAAAAAGGAGAGATTATGTAAATACATGTGGGAAGTCAGCTCAGAAGCTCCCAGATCCTCCGCTCTGCTGCTAACTTTACCCTCTTTCTGTGGGGCCCTTTTGCACACGACACCTTACTGAGCCCCAGGTGGCACCTTCAGGCTTTCCTGCTCTTCCAGCCTCTCCCTCCGCTGGGGCCCCAGCCCCACCCCAGAGATCTTTACGGGGAATCCTAGGAATCCTCGGAACATAACTTGAAAAGCACCACACTGCGACACAAAGACCGCAGAAGTGAAGACAGAGCCTCACGGTGCACGTTGATGCGCTTCAGGAACCGTCACCAGCCCCTCGCGGCTGGGTCTTCAGCCTGTCCACCGCCACCGATTCTTCCAGTTGCAGACACGGGCAGGAGGTCACAGGGCCCCTTGCGGATGGTGACCTGCTCTCTCCTCCCTCCAGTCCATCCGGCTTCTGAAAGTCAACATCTGACTTTGTCGTTCCCGAAATTCCTTCCGTGGCTCACCCTCCCTCACAGGGTGAAGGCCTCGCGTGCTCAGCTGTCCCCTCGTGGTGGCCCCGTGCCCTTCCCCACTCCTCCCCAGAAAGCGG